TTGATATGCAGGATAATAAAAAGCTTCATTTAACTCTATTGCAGTGCCAGATGATTGTTTTTATAAGGTGGATAGATAAACTTTACATGTTACAACCGCTTGATTATTATTGATGGACTTGAGATTTTTTACCAGTGACAGTTTCAGCTCTTAATTGTGAGGATCCTCAAGCTGCAGTTTCTAACAAAAGCTTTACTTTTTTCTAAGTAGTGAAATGTTTTCCACGATCCTCAGTGGTCTCAGCTTTTTGTTGACTAGCTTTGGCAGAAATCATTATTAATATTTACCTCAAGAGACGACATGTGATTCTATTGGGCATTTGGCAGGAGCGAGGCGGTAGCACCACCTTGATACCAGTCTGCGAACTCTCCATCTTTCCACCGCGTGCATCCACATTAAAACTGACCAGGAATCCTCCAGTGACTGGGGGCTCGTACACCTGAACGTTATCTTCCTGCATATCTGCTAGACTGGATGGGAGGTCAGCTTGCACGAGATTCCCTTCTACACTGGTGATGATCTCAGTTTCCTGTACCATGACAAAAATAATAGTATCAAAGACCCACATCATGCAATATGTAAGTAACTTTTAAAAATGCACAACTCAAGGCAATTGAAGGTTGCTAGAAAGTGTTAATGATCGATCTTAGTGCAAACCATTGGAACTATGTACTTAATCACGACTTTCATAAAATAAAGTTATCAGAGAAGACCCTTTCCCGTACAATTTGAAAGCTGGCGACTGCTATTTTGCATAGTAGGTCACCTGACTTCCGCCTTACCCCTCTTTGACAATATCAAGGAGGGAAAGAATATTGTCCAATTTTGCTGTTACAAATACCAACAATATAAATCCATGTATTGACTGTATTAAATAGACAAGTAATGGTGTCCTTGGAATGGGACATTTCAGCGTTGTGTTGTGTTGTGTTACGGTTCTGTAGTGGTGTGTTGTGTTGTGTTACGGTTCTTTAGTGGTGTTTTGTGTTGTGTTACGGTTCTGTAGTGGTGTGTTGTGCTGTGTTACGGTTCTGTAGTGGTGTGTTGTGCTGTGTTACGGTTCTGTAGAGGTATATTGTGTTGTGTTACGGATCTGTAGTGTGTTGTGTTATGATTGTGTTTTGGGTGTTGTGTTGTGCCTTGCTGTGTTGCGTATTGTGTTTTGTTGAGTTTTGTTGCGTGTTGTGTTATGGTTGTACTGTGGTTGATGTGTTGTGTTGTGCTGTGCTGTGTTTTGTTGCGTGTTCTGTTCTGTCGTGGTTATACTGTTGTTTGTTATGGTTGTGTTGCGTTGCGCTGCGCTGCGTGTCGTGTAGGGCTGTGTTGTGTCTTGCTGAGTTGAGTTCTGTTATGTTGCCTTGTATTGTGTTAGAAATATCCAGAAATAGAACATTCTTTCTTATCCTTACCTGCATGCCACTTGACAAATTGAGGTCAGAATATCTAGAGTGATCAAGATCAGAGGCATGCGAGCCTGTCAGGGGAGTGCCTTCTTGGAAGCATCCAGAATAGCGTGTTGAGAATATACCAGAATCAGTCTTCTTGCCAGTACCAGGTTGGATCTTAAGCTCAGAATCGTCAGTGATTTCCACCATCTCCTCCATCGTCATGAAGTGATCATAAGCCTCTTCCTTAGGGGCTTCTGTAAAAAAAATCCAGTATCCAATGTTACTCTCACCCAAAATGTAACTGAATTTGCTTTCCAAAAGCAAGACTCGTATTGCCACTCTTGGCAGGATTTATAGACCAGGGCATAACAACTTCGACAAATGGACCTTTTTATCGATATGGCGGTAATCTTAAATTACGGATGCTGAGGGGGACTATTGGAAAATGTATAGACTGCACGGCTGTCAGGATGTCTTTTTATATGATTTTACGCTTTTCAATGACAAGCACATCTAAAAAGCATTTGAATTTGCTGGTAGTTGGAACAATATGCGAAACACCAAGGCTTCAAATTATTTGGAAAAAAAACCCCCTGCTACTCTATGCTTTATAAATGTTCTACGTGTTTGACCCCTTGGTATCCCATAATTCAATATGACCGCCGTACCAGTAAAAAGGTTCATTGCGTCCTTAGTCTCTTATGTTCCCACCACCCAGGTTGGCTGCGCATGCGAAAAGAGGTGTACTTCATAAGGGGTGACATTGTTAAAAAGGAAAAAAAGCATAACAGATTTCTTCATTGGCACCGTATTTAGAAGAACGACTTTCTTGTTCTCATTATATTGCTTATTTATTATCATTATTGCTTGGATCACGTTTTCTCCAACAACGAAATTTGTTCTTAAAGCGATGCTAAGGCTCAGGTCAGACGTTGAACTTCACATGAGTTGAACTTCACATGAGCCGAACTTAATTGAAACATTGGATAACAAGGCGGTCTTCTCCGATTTCATTAGGTTTGGCTCATGTGAAGTTCGACGTTTGACCTGAGCCTAAGTTAGATAATGAAAAGAGAAAACCAACCTTTTTAATTGTTAAAAATGAATTTTGTTTGTCTCAAAGTGTGTTTTTCAGTTACAAATTCCACAATAAATCAAAAAAAAAAAAAAAAAAGTAGCGCAGTGGTAATACGTGTTACATCGTCAATCGTCATTGCTGTCATTTATGCCTTACAAGAAAACCAAAAATGACTTATGATGATRGAAAGAATAACAAGCCTGGCATTTTTAGAGAGCAGAGCGCATAAGCAATAARGAAAGAACGCYAGGRAGAATGCTAGTCCAGGATTGCCTATCCTGCGTGGAGTAGTGTTCACATGCCCTATTGAGTGTCATTGGTGAAAGCTGATAAGATATACCACGTGCATTGTAGTGTAAACGATATTGATAGTTCTGTTTAGTTCGTTGTTTAACGTGTCGTGTGGATTGTGAGTCAGATGGCAGTTCATGTTGTGATCCAGGGGAAGCAAACGTGTCGTCAAATCCCAGCGAACGCTGAGCCACCACCAACACCGCTGACCAAATTAAACGGCCTAGAAACTGAAAGCGCTCCAAAAATCCTGCGACATGAAAAATATTGATTGGCAATTTTTTTTCTACTAATAAAGCTTTCTAAAATTTGAATACCCGTGCTGTGAAAAGTGCTTTATAAAAACTATATAAATAAAGTGCTTAAATTAAGCAAGCCGGAAGCGATATAGCAAGCGATGTCACGAGGCAGTTCGGCATTCATCCAAGGACCGAAGTGTACGGGGAAGCTATGCGAAGCTATCTTTAGTCAAGCAAACTCATCGTAAACTCAGACTCAACTTAAAAAGGATACCAGGCTGTATGGCTGCTGAGTAAGAATGGCTTATGGTTTTGCGTCCGGGAGTAAAAAAAAATATGTGCCCTTCCAAGTCCAGCAATGTTTCACAAAGCAATGCTGCTGCTGCTGTTGCTATTGCTGCTGTTGCTATTGCTGCATGCAATGGTGTCAACGTGTCTTAATGCGTGCATACACAAGACATTGTAACATATTCATACCTTCTTCAGCCTCATGTTTCTCCATGTCTTCCAATACTTCCTCCAATTCAAGTTCCTCTGGTTTTGCACTGAAAATAATCTCAGGCTCCTCATCATCACCCTCTTCACCGGGCCTGCGCTTTATTCTTATGGTTTGCGTGATCTGAGTCACTTTTGACAGAATATCTACTATGGTTGTGTTGTTATGGACGGTTTGGGCAATGTAAAGAGCAGAGTATCCCTCCTGTAAAGGCAACAAATACAACAAACATTGTGAGCTTGAATATTTCATATATGATAATTCGCTCTTCTAAGTTAGTTCCTCGACGTTGAATTTACTCTGTCTCAAGTTATAATATTTTGTATTTTTCTGTGTGTTCAAAGATTTTTCTCCTCAGCTACGTATTCTCTCCTCTGCATTCTCTTTTATCTCATCTACTTTAGTCTAGTCTATACTCGTCTAGCCTCGTCTTATTACATCTTATCTATTTTCATATTACGTCATGTCATCTCTTTTTATATTTTATTCATTTCAACTCCAATTATTCTTCTTTTCTCTTCTCTCCCATACCCTCCCTTTTCAAAACTCATTCCATTTTTTTTCTCCTCTCTTTTTCCTTTCTCTCGTAAACTTCTGTGCCAGGGCCGTAGCCACAAATTTCTGATTGGCCCGGTTTTCGAGGGTTTTCAATTTTTCTTATATTTTCTTATTATTTTTCTTATATTTTTTCCCCGAAAGTTGGTACCGTACCGGTGGCTACGGCCCTGTGTGTTATGGAATACTTACGTTAGTCAGGGCATCTGGAGATGCGTTACGTTGCAGCAGAATCTCGATGATTATCTTGTGTCCATACTGAGCGGCAAGATGGAGTGGCTGGTAACCATTCTTGGTTGCAGCGTTGATATCTGCACCGCTATCCAATAGAAGTTCTACAATATCCCAATGACCATAGACACAGGCGATGTGCAGAGGTGTGAAACCACTCTAAAAAGATCCGATACAGCCAACATGCTTTAAATACCATATACACACGACATGATAAAGTATGGGCCAATAAAAATATACATGCTATAAGCATAGAGCATTTTTTGATTGTAAATTTAAGAAGAAATAAGTATCATACGTTAGAGCGAAGAAAAAATCCTTCGTCATAGTGAAAAAGGTGAGTTCTTGGATAAAAATAAAATCTAAGGCTACATACCACAGTCTGGGCGTTAATTGGTGCATTAAACTTCAGAAGGAGCTTGGCCACCTCGACTCTATTTTCACGAGCAGTCAGGTGTAGAGGAGTCAAACCATTCTACGACCAAGAAGAGCACAGATAACGTTTACCAATACCAACAAAAATCTTGGCAAACAGGCCAAGAGCATAATAATGATAATTCATTGAACGTATATTCTTGGGGTGCATTTAGGTCATAATCACCATCTTGGTTGACGATAACAAAGCATTTCTCATTAGCTTCTCTTGTTAGATCAATCAACATGGCGGTTGTTTCATTGTTTTTTATATCTCAAGGGATTTTGAGTCATGTGGTTGCACCCAAAGAATACAATAAAATGGGTTTACAATCATTCTAAAGATAAAGTTGATTTAACAAAAAAACTTTCTGAGATGCATGATGCATTGTGGACACTAGCTTGGGTAAAAACATCTTCTGTTCAACACGCTTTATTTGGTGACTTTGCAATACCCCAACTACACCACAATTCATCTTGCTTATAAACATAGAAGAGGACTATAAGGAAAAAGAAAAACGCTTGACGTGCACTGAAATATGCTTTGTGCTTACATTTGTCTCGATGCCAGGTAAGGCACCATTTTCCATGAGGAGCTGACACATTTCTACGTTGCCTTCCTTTGCAGCCAAATGAAGTGGGCTAATACCAGTCTGTAATACGAATAAAAGTATTAGACTCTAAAATGAACAAAAAAAGAAAGAAAAGTTTTACATTATAATTTACGAAAAATCACTCTAATTTTACTAATTTTGAATGTACTACTTCGAGGATACGGCAGCCATCTTGGATCGCAAGGCATTATGGGGCGTCCATGGGGCAAATAAAGCTTCATTACAGTAATAACGTCGATAGATATTAACAGTTCCCCACAAGAGAATACAACAAAAGATGAATTAAGAAGGCACATCAAACACATTTACCCATAAAAGAAAGACAAACACACGAATATCTATATATTTTCCGTCATCTTTGTCTTGTTTTGCCCCTTGGCAAGATAGCCGCCGAATCGTCAAAGTAGTCCCTTAGATCATTGTACAGGTGGGGGAATTTTCTGGGTAACAAATCTGGCCTTCATCAAAAATGGAAGCAAGAGTTATTTAACAAATCGAAGTCAGTTTTCTATGGGTCTGTACTTTAATCGAACATGAAATGACGTCAAAAATGATCCAAACTCAAGTAGAACCACGAGCGCAGCGAGCCAATCAGCGCGCGAGACATTTCCAAGTTATGGTAAAAATTGATTTTACCTGGGTAACAGTATCTGGTTCAACTCCACGATCCAAGAGAGATTTGGCGATGTCTTTCTGGTCTTTCTTAGATGCGATATGCAAAGGTGTAAAGCCATTCTGGAAAGCAATAGCATGGACAAGTAATCAAATTGCCATACAGCATTTTGAAGCAAAGAAAATGAAGGTGTGCCCTCTAAGTTAACGCGTAAACTGAATTTTCAAACAGCAGTTACCTTTGCTTTTGCATAGGGCGATGCATTGCTGTCCATCAGCTCCATGGCAACATCCTCGTGACCATAGTGTACAGCTACGTGCAATGGCGTCAGTCCGTGCTGTTAAGTAATAAAAGGTTTTAAAACATTATAACACAACAATATTCAAGCATTAAGAATCACTTTCCATGTTTATATTTTAATTTATAAACACGAGGGATGTTAGGAGAACTCGAGAAAAAGACAAAAAGCACAAGCTGTAGATGATTTAAGGGACGCTTTATCAGTCAGTGGAATTTTATGCGTCAAGAAACGAAAGAATTCGGAAAATTAACACGACAATTTAAGTCATCTTTCAGGAAAATCTGCAGGAAGGGTAATAGAATAAATGGGAGAACTCCCCTCCTCCCTAAACACACGACGCACACGTAGATRTGTACAGTGTCTAGACTTACTTTGCCCTCTGGATCAGGAGTCTCATAGTATTTTAGGAGCAGTTTAACGATGTTCACATGACCATGTCTGGCAGCCTCGTGAAGTGGAGTAAATCCTTTCTGTAAAAGAATGTCACCAATCGGAAAGTTAATTCTCTATGTCTGATAACTACCAGGGAAAATGACAAGAAATAAATAAAGGACTCCATATTTCCTTTTGACCACTCTGGGTGTCTATAGAGGCTTGCCATGACAAAAGGCAGAAACAATTAAATCTGGTCTTATCAGTTTTCCAGGGGAAAAAGACTATTGTTGTGCCTCCTGTCATGGCTACCATCACGTGATGGTGCAAAGCCTTTTTTTCACAAAGCAAAGACGTTTTCTGATATAGCGAATACGATGCATTGTAGTTCTAGATTCGGTACAAACATTTCCTCGATATTCTTTATATGGTGCTGTTTATATGAGGCTTCCTGTTTATCGAGCTCAGAAAAGGCCTATAGCACACCGTGCCCAAAATGGAGTGAATATGAGATGTTTGACCTCAGTGCAAAGACCCCTTGTGATGTAGAGGATTAGGTTAGCGGAAAGTAGGGTAAAAACAGGGTGCAAAGTTTCAAGTGCAGTCATACCTTAGACAAAATGTTAACGTTTGCTTTATGTTCTAATAATGTTCTGACAAGCTCCTCATCTCCTTCACGAGCAGCAATGTGGAGTGGAGTGCACTTGTTCTAAAGCAAAGACAAAGTGAGACACTTATCACGGTAGTACTGATAATTACGGGGGCRTATTCTGGAATTTTTAAAAGGGGGTAACTATTACAAAGGTTTTACCAGGAATGCGAGGAAAATGATAATACTGAGAAATTTGAGCAAAAAGGGCCGGGGGGATACCCACCCCCTTTACCACCACTGGAACAACCGTAATTTGTTTTGGGAAGAGAGGAAGGGATGATATCTTAATATGGAAAACACTAGCGAYACCCCTTAACGATCTTATGCCATGGGACAGGAAGGGATAACAATAAACAGACATGTTAGAAGTGATGGTGATGTATTTGTTTTCTCTGGGCCCTCCGCCAAGAAACAATTGATTTGAGAACTAGAGGACTAATTTGCTAACAACGAATGTGTCAAACAGTCCGCATGGATAATAACTTGAACTTGATCATTACATCGGAGTAGTTACCTTGTCAACGGAGTCAGGAGAAGCGCCGTGGTCCAGGAGTAGGTTAGTCATCTCAAGGTTCTTTGTTCTAATGGCAATGTGCAGTGGGGTTTCTCTGTCCTGTTGGTGAAGAATTTTAGTCGTGATTAGAATGAATTTCATTGGGAAACAAGGAAATAATTTAAACAGTCTTTGTCAATTGCCCTTATGAATTCCAGTAAAGAAGTATGGGGTTCATGAATTCGGTAAAAATGTGTATTCCTCATCGTGGAAAAATTGGGTTTTGKTGGATGTCGATCGAAGTTTTTCCATGTTATTGTCGAAAACGTGCCTATGGAAATTCCAAATTACAAGCGCGAAGTTGTACAATTTTGCGCGCGCGCGTGATTGGGAAGCAATGTAAAATTAAAGAATTGAATAGTATATTATTTTTATCATCCTTAGTACTACTGTAAACTGTTACAATGAGTCATGATTACGGTTTTCTGTATCAGTTAACATGCGCAATTATCTTCAGTATACCACAACATTTAATTATGGCGCCGCCGGTGAAGACTATGTAAAAAGATATCAAAAGATACCTGAAGACATCTGTCTGACTTGGAAAGAAATAAAGGAAGATCCTAATTATGCTAATGCCACCGCGGTGAACCATCCCTTTATGACAATATTTTTCCTTAGAAAAATCAACGTTTCTAAACTCTAGATTAGTCACAGCCTCGTGCAAGTCCACAATCTCACTACTATTTATTTAACAATACCATATAATTCCATTAGTTTTTTACCCTAAAAACTAACACAGTAATATCATTTTTACTATATATGATTTTGATAAGTTCGAATTTTAAAAGCTGATGTTACAACATCAGATTTTTTAAGAGTATATATAAACTACACTACATGTTTTTGTCCTATAAAAATTAAAACAGATAGTAAAACATAATTGGTTCAAATGAATGAGAAAGACGCAGGTAGTCAGTGCATAGTATGACGGAACTTGATTGCGTGTTATTTAAAAATGGAACAGCTGGAAAAGACCTGGACAAAGACAGGAAGTAAAATCATCTGATAAATTCTTCATGATTTCTCGTTAAAGAATGATTTTCACAGAACAAGAAATATCGATGTTTTCACGTCCAGGAATGAAAAAGGCAAGTAATCAAAAACTACCGTGTTTCTTTAATAGAAAATGCTCAGTCGACTAATACATAGTTCTAGTTTCTTTTTAAATTCCGCTCATGATCAGAAATCAGTTTATTGTTCATTAGACAAGGAATAAATAAGGCATTTACTGGAAAATCTCGATTTCTTTTACCAACATTTACTGAGTTTAGTAAGTTCACCACTAGAAAACTTTTCCTGGGCGAAAGGGTTCCTTTAWTCTCGTAAGGTAGTCCATTCTTCTTACAAAAATATTCAAAAGAATTCAGTCTTCTRGGCGCTATACTTTTACAAGAATGCATATAACAAGCCTCATGGCAGAATACTCTAAAACAATTTATATTTCAGAACAAAAACTCATAATTCTGCTGTAAGACAAAAAATACATTAGGCCATTGGAGGAGTTGAGGTATTTCCTCTTTCAAGAAACAATTTCTTTCTACATCCCTTTTTAAGACATCGAGAATTTTAAACATAACATAAGTGTAAAACAAAGTTAATTGAGGGAAAACTCACTTTAGAATATACAGTAGAAACCTCCACGTATTTCCACGATCCGTTCTTGGCTTTCACTAGTCAACACCAGCAAAACCGCCTTTCCCAAGCAAACAGACACTTTCCTATTATATTGAACTGATGGATAATACCATGCCGACACATGAAGACACTTTGGTAGACGTTTGTTCTAAGACTTATCTTTGTAATGTATTCGTAATAAATTAGTCTTTGTTCGGGGCGCGGGCACTGATTACTAATGAAAGATATAGTTTTGAATATCACTGTATAAACTCGGCCCGATGATCTACAGAATTTGGACTGAATCAAAACCTTCGACAAGTTTTCTGCCAGATGTTTAGAATAATTATTTACTGAAGTTTTGCCATGACAATGTACGAGAAATCTTGAAAACAAACTTTAGAAAATATCTTAATTCAAAATAAATATTCATGAGTTTAAATTGGTGCYGTATGTAATCTTTTTCTCGACTGGTGTTAGTTGATTATACTAATAGCAGTGTACATGGTATTGACAAATGCACAGGATGAATAAATAGAAAATTGTCATGCCTGTCTAGCCAGGTGTTCTCTGCGAAGAAAGCCTTCCTATAGGCGACACAAAAGAAAATAGAACTGGCCTAGGAGGGAAAGCTGGGTATTCATGGCAACAGAAAACGAAAAAAAGTAAAAGAAAAGAAAGAAGAACAAAAAAATGATAAGAGGTTGGAAAACGGTGGGAAATACAGCAAAGGTTGACAAAGAAATGACAAATCTTACGCTGAAGGCCCTAGATTCTACTACGTTTTGTATATCTTATAAACTGTTTCTAAGACATCCAAAATCAAAATTTACGCATTCTTTCTCATGCTATGGAAGACTAGGCAAATCTATAACTAGACGCATATCTGCGTGAACTCGGGCTTCATAGCAGAAAATCGAAAGAATACTTCGTGAACATTGTCATCCTTCTGACGAAACCTTGAAAAATTTCGCCATTGCTTGAAACATGTGCTTATGGTGGCGCATACTATGCAAGCGCATAGAACTTGCGCATGGGCTTTGAACGCAACTGCGATTTGTGACAGAACGCAAATTAAGTCCAATTTATACCTCGGGCATTTCTTTGAAAGCCCGAGTAATAAGGTCCATAATCAAGAGTGGAAGCCAAGAAATTTGACCTTCAAAAGAAATCCAAGATCAGCCAATCAACTTCAATATCACTTAAAGTTATTTTGATTATTCAGTATTAAGTGACCCACCAAAAAATAAATAAATAAAATAAAATAAAATAAACAGTGATAACCCATGATTCCTTTCGAAAGTGGAGTCACGAACCAAACCGCAAAAACATCGGTGTGTCATATAAAAACCGAGGGACAGAAGTTACATCCCGAATTTCATAAACTGCTTCCAACCTGCCCTTTTTGAATATAACTATCGATGCGATTTTTTTTCTCAACTGCTTAAGGTTTTAGCTTATATATTTTGTTGTTGCTTCATCTATTTATCACATATCGAGTACACTTTATTAACACTGCACTCAACRACCAAGCTATTTGGTGAAAGCGAATAAAAGGTAATGGATATTACTGAAAACATACGAGTAGATATTTTCCTATAGTCTGACACAAACTCAGCTTGGGGCGAATGGTTGTCCAAACAATTACTGATGCATGTTAATCGTTAATACTTTGAATATATTTATATAAGTCAGAAACAAATCGGCTCTTAAAGCATACATTAATGGAATGAATATGATATGAAGACGTTTGTTTTGATCTCATTACTTACCTGTGTTTTAGCATCAACTGAAGCACCATTCCTCAACAGTAGTCTGACAATGGTGATTTGCTTTCTCCTGCAAGCGATGTGAAGTGCTGTCTCTCCCCGCTAAAATCAAWAACAAGAAGCAAAACAAATTTATCAGTAAATGAGATCAAGAAACAAGTCTAAATAAACTTAGATCCATGCACGAAATACTGAGTCATGACCTWGAGTGCTTGGAATGAAATCGAAAACTAACCCTCTTGCTTCGCTTTCCTTATTTTTGAAAAATATAAATAAAATAAGCTAGAGTTGAAAAGTCCTTTATATTTTTTGACAGGGTTTCGGGACGTGTGCGGTCCTCAGCTTCAAACTGTTCGATGTAATGAAGTTGTTTCTACTTAATAATCGTCCTTAGAATAAGGTGTTTGATTGCTTTGAGCCCTCCTCGGGAACCCAGCGGTAAAGTTCTGTCGCTACTTTCTCGTTCGAGTAACGAGCGACAGAACTTTACCCTTGGATTCCCGAGGATGGGTTTGGGCGAGGGTAGCTGTGGTTGCTCCGATATCCCACATGTGTCCCGATTGTAAAATCAAATTCTGTATCACAAACCACAAAAGATATACACAATAAATATAACCAGTATCCATTGTATGTAACATTTCAGTCAAATATTGGTTCTGATCTCCCTATCGTATTTTCTATATCAAAGTCACAAGTATGAATTATATGACTTTAGGAAAAATAAGTCTAAAAATTTGTTCAATTAACTTTTGTTCGCTTGTTTTTATAATTTTCGGGCCTTTTTCTAGAACATTACTCGCAATATTCTAGTTATTCATCCCTTTCCCATAACCAACATTTTAACACAATTGTAAAGTCTCGATATCTTGTTTCGATTGCTTCCTTTTTCTATCAATTTCTTCRGTTACTTTTGATTGATTCAAAGCTTCAAAGAGACTTATCTTTTACGACTTTTGTGTAAAAATCTTATTCTTTTTCTGAATGATTTTCGAGTGTTTATGAAAAGCGTATTAATAAAGACAGTGATGCCAGCTTTCTGCTAAATTATTGGTTTTCTGTCTCGACTAATCATCGCAGTAAAGAGGGTTGATTTGAGCTGGAGCCATCTTTACCTTGCAACACGTGGTTGAGTATCGATTTCCTATTTACTATTCAGGACTAAGGAAACCAGCTGACTAWTATGCATAATAACTTTCACCTTTAGACTAAATACTGAAACTATGGCTTTCAGCAGGCACACTTTATCATTGCTCCTACTGAGCGCAGGAAATTCTGTGAGGAAACGGAGAGATTTGGAGCGATGGAAAAGCTTGAAGACAAAGGTTCACACTTCATGAAATGGTAAGAATAACCAAAAACTGGTTAGTGAAATGTTTCAACCATAAGAAAAAAAACTATTATTTTATTYGCCAGGCAAACCTCAAATACCTACACAGATAGTTAATTCAGCTTATACGGTTTATTTAGATATTTATCTCGGTAAAATGTTGAAATCATTTATACCTAGCTATCTTCTGAGACCTACAGTACATCGAAATGACAGCTCGGACTTAAAAAATAAATGAGATCTAGTAAAAGATGATCCGACTATATAATTATTTATTTACGACATGATTTGCTCGAATTTTCGATTTTAATTTTCCAGTAAATTCTATATAAAGTCGTGAAAATAGAAATCTTAGTTTTCGGCAGCCATTTTCTTGAACGTATAGTCCTATAGAGATTATTTTCAACGCAACATGGATAAATTACGACGTGGTTTGTTAACGCTGAGCAAAGGTTTCAGTATACTGTACGGATTTTCCGTGAAATACCTTCCAGAACCTTCCAGAATATTCTGGTAGGATATCAAACAAAAATGAATAAAATCTTTCTACATACGTACAAGATTTAGTCCAGGAATCCAAGACCACACCCAGATTACTTGCAGGCTAGCAAACAGAGTGACTCATACTGGTCTAGACCAAGAATGCTCCAGTTTGAATCTATTAAAGGTAGATGGCTCTCTTCCAATGAAAGGAGCTTTTCGCCGATGAAACATTAATTACGTGCGCCAACCAGCAAATAAAAGTAGTAGTAAATATTTCATTCGAAACGTCATACTTCTAGGATTACCTTTTTTTCTAACATGGGATCCGAGTATAACTTGTGTACTTCCGGCAAGGAAACGGGATTATACCCGCATCCCGCGGGATAAGGTTTAATGCATCCGTCTCATTGTGTTTAGTTTTAGCTGTCAGAACGGTCAACTTGGGAGGTCAGTTGCAAGCGTCACACTGAAGTCACATTCCATGTGATATCATTTCCTTTCTCTTTACGATATGTCGAAAATACTAAATATAAACAATATTCCTCACTTTTTCGAATTTGTGTTGCAGTATACGATTACAATTTTATTGCTCAAGCAATAAAGAATCCTAGTCAACTACRAATGCATTGCGCGCCGGAAACAATGCCAAAAATGCTATGCGCTATTTTCTCTGCCCGSCGAACTGGCGGTTTTGTAGGTGAAGTTTGGGAACCCAGTTCGATCGGTCTTGCCATTCCTGCTGGATGTTATACGACTATCATAATATAATGGTTTATAAAAAAATTCCCGCGGGATTTTATAAATTTTGGCAACGAATCTAAGGTAGATTTAGAAAGTTGCGATGTCTAACAGTTGCACGACCCTTCAGTTTTTATTCGGAGTTGAAGTTTTATTKAGGTTTTATTCGTAGTAAAATGTCGAGTCATTTAGTAAGGGTACTTACGACATTAGTGATATCAGGTGATCCACCATGTTGAAGGAGGATTAGGACGAGAGTAACATTTCCATAGTAAGTAGCCACGTGCATCGGCGTCTGGCCTCCCTATTAGATGGCAGCACAAGAGAACAGTTGAAAAATACACGGCTTTCATAAAGGCACGATTACACGGACTAATTTTCTCTGCAACTTGTCTCGCAACGGCGTAACGACACAAGTTTCATTGCAGAGTGTAACCAACAGTTACGRAAGTAGAAGTAGAATTTTTCCATTGCACTGTATAAACACTCTTGCAACTTGTGTCGCAACGTCATTGCAAGACAAGTTGCAGAGAAAATTGCTCCTTGTAGTCGCGCCTTAAGAGTAGTTATCGTGTGAATGAGAAACTTGCAGTACTGACTCACAGCACGTCGTACAAGGTACGACATATGGTTTTCCATCCAGTAATTTATCCAAAAAYAACGCTAATGTAAGATACATAGCTACAATTTTGTCATAGATGTCCATCCAAACGGAAACTCAGCTCTATTACTGACTTGGTGCAAAACAAAAGCAGTGTTAAATAAATGAAATATAGGTTTTCAGTACCTCGTTGGCAGAGTGTACATTTGCATTGTACTTGAGAAGCAGCTGAATGACTGCCTCACGGTTCTTCTTACATGCAACATGCAGTGGAGTAAAGCCATTCTGTCGAACAAATGCATTTATTAATTTTCTTCAACATTATATAATATATCGCTATCTTATACGCAATTAAAATTCTTGAGAATTGAATGGGGGCGGTCCAAGTCGTTCTCAATCGGATGCAATTTTCGCCCAAAATGTTAGACTTTAGAATCCATAATTAATTTTACTGAGGCAAACGTCCTAGCAGTTATTTTGCCTGCTTTGCTTACACTTAAAAAAGCAGCTAATTTTGTAACAAGAAAATTCTGTTGATGTTGCTGCTGTCGTTGTTGCTGTTGTTGTTATATTGTCGTTGTTGTCTATGTTGTTGCTGATGCTGTTGTTGTTGTCATTATCATCATCATTATAGTTTCCGCTCATGGCTCGAGATCGGTCTTGGTGCCTGTTTGCCTTGGAAACCACTGTTCGAATAAACKCATAAAGTCTCTACTGCTGTTGCTGAAGTTCTCGTTTCTATTATTGTTGTTTTCAATGCTGATTGTTRATGTTGTTGCWTTTGTTCACATTGTCGATGTTGTCAATGCTAAGGCTGCATCTTTTCAAGCAGCTGTTATTGCTGTTTCGTCAATAGTAGGACAAATACAGCGACAGTCGTTCAAGATTTAAACGTTGGCATACTTACTCTTGCTCTTGCATCAGTATCAGCACCTTTCTCCAACAGAAGCTCAGCAATCTCAACATGACCATAATGAGCAGCAATATGCAAAGGAGTTAGTCCATTCTATTAAGAGAGAATGACATTGATATTATACCCATCACCCTAGATATTAGTGCTCTCATATAATTATTAACTGTACGTCTGTATACACTAAATTGTTTCTTGTTCTGCACCGACTAGCACCTAACTAGCCTCTTGTCTAAGTGGAAACATAAAAGCATTTCACATGTATGAGAGGCTAGTCATTCACTAGTCAGCGCACGACCTTCTCATAACCTAACGCTGCAATCAGAAATTTACGGAACCCTCTTTCCTAGGTTCCATTATGGTTCACCATTAAACACTGWGGTCGAAAATCGCCTAACTATTCGACCCTTGACAATGTATATATATAATTATTTAAGACAATCTTTCACTTTTCAAATTCAAATGTTTTGTACACGCATTCTCCACCAACCCCCCTCCCCCCCAACC